CAAACTCTCAACATCTTTTTTTGTGATATGGTGACCAAAATTGGCTGCAGTATTCCAGGTGTGGTCTTACTAGGGTTTTATAAAGCGGTACTAATACTTCACGTGATCTTGATTCTATACCTGTTTATATAACCCAGGATTGTATTAGCTTTTTTGGCTGCTGGTGCACACTGCTGGCTCATAGTCAAGTAATCATCCACTAGAGCTCCAAGGTCCCTCTCACAGTTACTGTTTTTAAGCCAGGTCTCGCCCAGTCTATACTTGTATCTTTGATTTTTCCTGCCTAAATGAAAAAAATTGTTTTTCTCCCATTGAAGCTCATTTTGTTGGATAGGGCTTATTGTTCAAGTTTGCCAAGATCTTTTTGGATCCTGAGTTTGTCAGCTGGGGTGTTGGCTATTCCTGCCAGTTTGATGTCATCTGAAAATTTGATGAGTTCCCCTTCAATTCCCTCATCTAAGTCATTGATGAAGATATTGAAGAGTACTGGGCCTAAGACGGAACCTTGTAGTACCCCACTGCTTACTTCTCTCCATGTGGATGTAGTGCCATTGAGGACTACTCATTGAGTATAGTTTGTCAGCCAGCTACAGATCCATCTGGTGGTGATGTTGTCTATGCCATCATTTTCTAGTTTACCAAGGAGTAGGTTGTGGTCTACTTACTGAAGTCTAAGTATACTACGTCCACAGCATTTCGCTGGTCTACTAGTTTAGTCACTTTATTGTGACTTATTTTGCATTGCCAGAGCTGGGGTGGACACGGCCTCATATGATGTAACCAGCCCATGGGTCGAGAGTTAGATAGGAAATAGGAATGCCTAGTCTATTAAAGAGAAGGATTAGGGTGATGTGACAGCTGTCTTCCAGTACTTGAAGGGCTGTTACAAAGAAGAGCAGGTTGATTTATTTTCCAAATCACCTGAGGACAGGTTAAGAGGCAAAGGGTGGAAGCTCATTAAAGAGAACTCCAACCTAGAACTAAGGAGAAATGACACTGAGAGCAACTAATCTTTGGAACAGTTATGGGTGCTCCATCACTGGAGGTTTTTAAGAAGAGATTTGTTTGTGATGATATAAAGTCTCCTCCTTTAAGCAGGGGTTTGGACTAGAAAACCTCCAAGGTTTTCCCTTCCAGCTCTATCATTCTGTGAATGCATTTGTCTTTGTGAAAACTAAGGAGGGTCTTATTTGAGAATTTTATTCAGATCACATTCCTGTCCCAGACTCTGACCTTTTATCTGACACCAGTCTTGGTAGCAACTTTTCTTTCTGCCCTTCAAGGTCATTTCTTCTTCTCTCTACAACTTTTTCCAGGTCTACTGGATAGTTTGTAAAATGAACAACCAGTATAGTCCACAGTGCTCCAGATATAGATAAATCTTAGAGTTGTCTAACAGCATTACAAACTTGGCACTTTCAATTTCAGTCCTTTCTAGTGATTCTTAGCATGGAATTTGTCTGTTTTCACAGTTGTCATTCACTGAATGAGCCTCTTTATTAAGCTTTCCACTATGACTTCAAAATATTTTTCCTAAATATTATAGCCAGCTTGATTTTCCAAAATGTATATGTGAAGTTGGAATTTTTGCCCCAATATGCATCAGTTGATATTTACTTAAATTGAACTGCATTTACCATTTAGCCAATCATTTACCAGATTGTAAAAACTACTTTTGGACTTTTTCATAGCTACATTTGATTTATATCACCCTTAGTAATTACATATCATCCACATATCTGGCCAGCTCACTGCATTGCCTTAAATCAAGATGAAGGCTTGGCTTGATTTGTTTAAAAATCCAGGGATAGTTTGTATTATTCTTTTTTTACTTTGGCCTTTGCATCAGCTACCCAGGAAGAGCATTGATGATGATGATGATGATGATGATGATAATAATAATAATAATAATAATAATAATAATAATAATAATAATAATAATGTTGGAAGGTACCTTTGGAGGTCACCTAGTCCAACCCCCTGCTCAGGCAGGAAACCCTACACCATTTTGGACAAATGGCTGTCCAGTCTCTTCTTAACCATAACCATAATCATAACCTATGATTATGGTTATGGTTATTTTGTAAAGTGAATTTTGCTGTATATGTTGAATAAATGAAAAATAAAAACATTTCTATTAAAAAAAAACTTCCAGTGTTGGAGCATTTTCTGCTTCTGGAGGCAGGTTGCTCCACTGATTAATTGTTCTCACTGTCAGGAAGTTTCTCCTTAGTTCTAGGTTGCTTCTCTCCTTGATTAGTTTCCATTCATTGCTTCTTGTCCTGCCTTCAGGTGCTTTGGAAAATAGCTTGATTACCTCTTCTTTATGGCAGCCCCTGAGATATTGGAATACTGCTATCATGTCCTCCCTTGTCCTTCTCTTCGTTAAACTAGACATACCCAATTCTAGCAACCGTTCCTTATATGTTTTAGCCTCCAGTCCCCTAATCATCTTTGTTGCTCTTCTCTGTACTCTTTCTAGAGTCTCAACATCTTTTTTACATCGTGGTGACCAAAACTGGATGCAGTATTCCAAGTGTGGCCTTACCAAGGCATTGTAGAGTGGCATTAATACTTCACGTGATCTTGATTCTATCCCTCTGTTAATGCAGCCTAGCACTGTGTTGGCCTTTTTGGCAGCTGCAGCACACTGCTGGCTCATATTTAGGTGATTGTCTACAAGGACTCCGAGGTCCCTCTCAGACCTCCTGCTTTTAAAGCCAATCACTGGCAAATTAAATTTGTTCTTCTCTAGAACGAGAGTGCCTCAGTACTACACTTTATGACTTGGATTGTCTACTAAGTGGCTTAGGAGATCCTTCCCATTTGCTCTGCATAAAACAAAACAAAATAAACAAGTAAAAGAGTGGAGGGAATAGTTTCCATGATGTATTAGGGTTAGTATTTGAATTCTGACTACTTGGGTAATTAGAACATTATAACAGTGGCTATCTATGGCACAGTTCATGTACTTTTATTGCATTTCAAAGCTTCTTTGAATGTTGGAAAGAACTGGTTTATTCTGCAGTTACTTTCATTTACCCAGCACATCTTAGTACCATGTTTGATGCTAAGGCTTAGCTACCATTGGTGATAGATGCTTGTTAGAGAGACTAACATCAAGGTACTAAGTCAAAGTTTGTCTGTGGAAATCTGGGGAATTCTAGGAGTTGAAGTCCACACATCTTCAAGTTGCCAATGTTGAGAAACTTTGCACAAAATGTTTCCGCTAAACACGTTTCATACTGAAGTCAGTCTTGGGTAGACTGTATAAATAATTTAACAGGATCTCATCCATTTTTCAACCTGATGCCCTCCAGATGGATTGGACTTTAATTCCCCAAATGTTCAGTCCATATTTATAAGAATGAAGACACATTGGGCTATTTAACACGTAACATTTAATTTAATTGGGTGATTATGTGCTTCAAGGTATTTTATTTTAGGACCTTCATCAAGCAAAATATATTATTATATTGTTGTACTTTTGAGAAATTAATTATATTAATTTGAATTAAATAGATTTAATTGCTACATTGTATGGTGCTGCAAGACTAATATTTTGTCAGTTCTAGTCCATTAAAAATGGTTCAAATTTTGTGAATTTTCAGGCTGCCAAAGGACTCTTCTTCAATTTTATTGGCTTTCACTGTGTTCACTGCATATTCTATAAGGGGTCATGAGAAAAAAACCCTAAATTTAATTTTACTAAGCCAATCGTATCGCATATTAATATATAAAAACAAAGCCAACACTATGCCATTTCTCAGGACAAATTCTAGGTATTACTTTAATCTTTCTTTGTAGAAATCATTGCTAAATATTAATTTTCATAAAATTAAACCCCCTAACTAGAGTAGTAATAGCTTTGTTTTCTTTTGCATTATATATTATTATTTCTCTTACATGGATCTGCCTCCCTCATTATGGGGTCACTGAGCCCATAGAGTTTAATATAAGATTTTAATGCGTGACATGAAAGACAGCTATTATCATAAAAGGATGTTTATAAAAAGCATATTAAGCAGATACTTTAATTAGGTCAACTATGGCTTATTGAACAGCTGCCAGTTTTGAGTTTCCAAGTGCTCCAGCCAAGATATTTAACTTTCAGGGGGAAAATTAGGACTGTTAATATTTTGATGGTATCATTCATATTGCATGATCAGGGCTGTTTGTGGGATGTGGTCCAAAATATCAACGTTGTGGCCACAACTGTACAATCAAAGCTCTGCTTGTTTTTTAAGGGCATTGCATGTGTGACATGCATAAAAAAACAAATGGAATTTCAAAAGATTTTTGCTTGTAGGAACTGGCAGGGAACACTGGCAATCATGACTGAGTATATACCTCCTGCCAGCTTCCTCATTGACTTGAGGGAGGCTGTCAATGCCAGCTTCCCCATTGACTTGAGGTAGCTTTGTAAATGATAATTGTTAAGTCCTTAAGTTAAGGGCGAAAGAAGAGCACACATTCTGTAGCCAACAACTGTTTATTCTTCTTCTGCTCACTCCAACACAACTCAGAGGCTCACAGGCTTCTCTCTAATTTTATAGATTCCCAGGCAAAAAGGTTACAATGAGAAAATGGCGCGCTTTCGCGCCTTGTGCATGCGCGCAGGCTGGCGCCGCTTAGCCTGGTCCCGGGCAGCTTGCAACAGCCTGGGACCATAGCAACGTCCTGAGCCTGCTTTTGCAGGCTCAGGACAGAACAATAATCACATGACCATGGCTGACTGTAGCAGCACTGAAGTAGTAGCAGTTGTGCAGTGGCACTGAAGAGACCCACAACTTCCCTAAATTTTATTCCCACAAGAGTTACAGGTCTTGGCATTTTGTAAGTTAACCCTTTTGAGATACCTTGGTTCAAAACCTATATGATGCACCATTTTGCCAAACTGAATATTACAAACAGACAAACAAGAGCTTTAATTATTTTACTTTATTTGTAACATTAATTGGCTGCCCAACTTACTCCAAGGTAACTCTGGATGGTTTATAATGAAATAAACTACGGTAAAAACATACAGAAATACTTTAGTGCAAAAAAGTCAAACACTGCAGCACAATTAAAGGATGGGGAGGATGGAAGCAGGATGGAGGGAGGTGGGATCTGATGTTAATTGATCAACCACCTCCATTGTGATGCTCCCTATTGGAGCCCCAAGCTAATTCACAGAGTCAGGTCTTTGGGCTTTTATGGAGTCAAACAATTGAAATTGAAGAGGGCTGGTCACACAACAAGAAGAACTGACAGCAGGTGGACCAAGGCAGTCAGAGAATGTATCCCACTTGATAAAAAGCGTCCACAGAAGAGACCGAAGACAAGATGGATCAACAACATCAGCAAGTACCATGGGTCCAATTGGCAAAAGAGAGCTCAGGACTGTATCTGTTAGAAACAAGTGGAAGAGGCCTTCATCCTGTAGTGGATAGCAATAGTTAGAATGATGATGATGCACTAGAAAATAGTTTTATCATTAGGATTCATTTCTTCGCTAGTTAAAGGCATTCTATAATTTACAATCCTTTTTTTTTAATTTGTAAGTTTTTCTTTTTTAAAAGTCTCCTTGCCAGCCATTGAAGGCAGAATCAAAACCCCAATCAATTCTTCAAATTGCTTTGTGTTGACTGAGTCTGGGCCAGTCTGCTTATTGGTGATTCAAAAAAAAAAAAAGGAAAAAAAACCCCAACCCTGTGACATAGCCTTATTTTACGAAGGCTACAGCTGTATGGCTTATTTGAGAGCATCCCAGCCAGCTTTACTCCAGGCAATTTGAATATAAGAAAAAAAAATAACATTGGAAAGCCTAAATAGGGACAGAATTAAGTATTTGGAACTGGAAAACTTTCCCTAATGTGTTGAAACTTTTTTAAAAAAATCTTCATGAGAGGATAGACAAAAAAAGCTCTTAGATTCACTTCTTCCAGATTATCAGTGGGGAAAAAAATCTTCATGAGAGGATAGACAAAAAAAGCTCTTAGATTCACTTCTTCCAGATTATCAGTGGGGAAAAAAATCCTAAAATGTCCAAGTTGGTGCACTGGAGTGCCTTGTAGGTGAAAAAACTACCAAGCCTACTTCAGCAGCCTTGAGGGCTGGAATCTTGAAACACGAAAGACAAGATTTTTCTGGATCCAATATGGATCATTTTATTTGGAACTTGCTTTCTAGATGAAATTTCATTTTGCAGGAGGGGGGGGGGAGAAATATGAAAAAATGGTTGTGGGTTTAAAAAGCTAGAGAAAAAAAGACTAAGTTCCTATCAGGGCAAATGTGAGTTCAGAGGCAGACTCCTAGAAAAGGTGTCAGACTTGACAGCTTAAAATTAGAAATAATTATGTAAATCTTGGCTCTGAATCAGGAAACAGCGCATGTTGCCAAGGTTGTTAAGTATGGTCACATATCTTTGCAAATTAATTCAACTGCCTGTCATTTGATTACAGTTCCCTGGTGAAGCTACTAAAAAGACAGTTGTTGCACAGCATCAGAAAAACTTTTCTTAAAAGAAGGTTTTTCCTCCTATCTTTAAAATAATGCAACCATATGAACCCCCCCCTTTTTTTGGGGGGGGGGGCTTTGGAGCCTTCTCTCCAAATTAAAACAGAAATTTGATGAATCCTATTATCCTTGGAAAACTGCCAGGAAGCTAGAAGATTCCCTTCCTATTAAGAAAATTCAACCTGTATAACTTTTTTTTTTAAATCAAGTCACCAAGAGAACTTTTTCTGATGAGTATGAGGGATCCTGATGCTCTCTGAGCTTGCTTGTTTTCTTGCAGATATTTCATTACTCAAACTAGGTAAGGTCTTAGAGATTCTTTGGTTGGGCTGTTTGTTGTTTTTTCTTTGGCAGTTTCTTGATTGGGGTATTGTTTACTTGATCGTTGGTCTGATGTTAACCTTGGAGTTAATCTATGCTGAGCTGGGTATTGATTGCCGGTAGAAAGGTGTTTAGGTCTTTTTGTTCCCTTTTGGGTTGGTTGATAATAATAATAATAATAATAATAATAACAATAATAATAATAATAATAACAACAACAACAACTACTACTACTACTACTACTACTGGAAGTTATTATTATTATTACTATTACTATTACTATTACTATTACTATTATTTCTCCTACTTCAGACACATTATGCAAAAATCTAACTCTAATGCTGGGAAAGATAGAAGGAAAGAGAAGAGGAAGATCAGTAGAAAGCTGAATGAATTGAGTTACACTGGTGATGGGTCATGCCAGCCGGATAATACATAATCATCAATCAATTACATCTTCCTTAGATTGAGTGATTGACCCAAAGTAATCCAGCTGGCTTTGTACCTAAGGTAGGACTGGATCTTAAAATGTACCACTCTAGCCTAGTGCCTTTAACCACTATACCAGTGGTGGCGAACTTATGGCATGGGTGCCAGAGGCAGCACTCAGAGCCCTCTCTGTGGGCACGCACGCCGTCACCCCAATCCTAGGCCTTCAGCTGGGTTTTATAAAACCTTTTCACTTTAGGCCTCCACCGCTGTGTACAAAAAAAAAAAAAGGTTCAATCAATCAGTCAATTTCAATTTCTCACGAGAAAAAAAAGATCTTGCAAAGTTGGAATTGATTGATTGAACTTTTTAGTCCCACCCAGTCTGCTGTTACCACCGCAGCCATGCCCACCCAATGGGTCACATCCAACGATGCATAAGTGGGTGTTGGGTTGCAGTTTGGGCACTCGGTCTCTAAAAGGTTCGCCATCACTGTACTATACCATACTGGCTCTCAATTACCTCAACCAGCGTATATCTCAATCATATATTAAGGGCACAGATAGTACAAGCATTGATTTCTTTATCTACCAAGGAAAATAGGTGGGCGTGGAATGCTACAAGTACATTAGATGGTTGAAGAAGAAAAAATGGCTTTGGAAGAATATCTGAAGAACAATGATGAAGATGCACTGAAATTAGTATATGAGGAAGGCTTACTAACCACTGGAGAGACCAAACTGGCCTACAAGAAAGACCAAATGAAGAACAGAATAGAGGCATGGGAAGACAAAGCACTACATGGCCAATACATGAAAAAGATAGCTGGGAAAGCAGATAATAATAAAACCTGGCAATGGCTAAGAGCAGGAAAATTGAAGAAACCTTCCATTTTTGTGGTGTACAAACAAAGAAATAATGATCTGTTACTACAGATCAAGTCCAACAAGAAGAGGATATCTAAAACGAATGCACCAGTTCTGGAAAGAACAACATCCAGAATCAGAAATAACAGAACAGAGACTAGCAGATCAACGCGATTTATAACATAAAATAAAGTATTCACAGAAACAGAATTGGACGAACTGCAAAGGTTTACCCAGGGCAAAGAAATCAAAGCCTTACCAGAAGTAATTCAGAATGTAGAGGCAAACCAGGGGGAGTTGGCAGTGAAGGAATCTAGCAGAGATATACAACTGTTCTCATTTGGAAACCAGGCACCTCTACCTCAGGAAGAACAAAACCCTCTAACTAAAGAAATAAAAGAATTGAAACAAAGAATAACTGAGCATCTAGAACAGCACAAAAACAACAGAATAAGGCTACCTGCATTGAAGCTTGTTCCAAAGAAACAGCTAGCACAAGCATTAAAAGATGCAAATACTGCAATATCAAGTATAAGCACCAATTCACTGCAAGAAACAAACCAACTAATGTACAGCACAGCTGCAGTTATAACAGAATACCTGGGATGCAAAATCAACAAAGAAGAAAAACAAACAAACAGTGCACCAGAAAAATGGAAGGTTAGACTAGAAAATAAGATCAGCAAGTTAAGATAATAATAATAATAATAATAAAATAATAATAATAATAATAACAATACTTGGGTATCCTTCAAGCTGACAACATCAAGCACACTGAAGTCAAGAAAAAGATTAGAGGTGAATACATCAAGAGAGTGAAGAAGATCTTAAAGTCCAAACTCAATGGAGGAAATACCATAAAGGCAATCAACACCTGGGCAATCCCAGTCATTAGGTACACAGCTGGAATAGTGGACTGGACTCAAGCAGAACTAAAAGCAATGGATAGGCAGACCAGAAAAATAATGACAATGAATCATGCCCTTCATCCACGCAGTGACATTGATAGACTTTATCTACCAAGGCAAATAGGTGGGCGTGGAATGCTACAAGTACATCAGATGGTTGAAGAAGAAAAAATGGCTTTGGAAGAATATCTGAAGAACAATGATGAAGATGCACTGAAATTAGTATATCAGGAAGGCTTACTAACTACTGGAGAGACCAAACTGGCCTACAAGAAAGACCAAATGAAGAACAGAATAGAGGCATGGGAAGACAAAGCACTACATGGCCAATACATTAAAAAAATAGCTGGGAAAGCAGATAATAATAAAACCTGGCAATGGCTAAGAGCAGGAAAATTGAAGAAAGAAACCGAAGGATTAATTCTGGCTGCACAAGACCAAGCTTTAAGGACAAATGCATACAAAGTCAAAATTGAGAAGACAGCAACAGACAGTAAGTGCCGCCTATGCAAAGAAGCTGAAGAAACAGTGGACCACTTGGTAAGCTGTTGCAAGAAGATTGCACAGACTGATTACAAGCAGCGGCATGACAAAGTAGCAACAATGGTGCATTGGAAGATCTGCAAAAAATATCATTTGCCTGTAAGCAAAAACTGGTGGGATCATAAAATAGAGAAAGTCATAGAAAATGATAAAATTAAACTGCTCTGGGACTTCAGAATTCAAACAGACAAGCACCTGCAACATAACACCCCAGACTTAACAATTGTCGATAAGAAAGACAAAAAAGTCTGGATAGTGGACGTGGCAGTGCCTGGAGATAGCAGAATAGAAGAGAAAGAACTGGAGAAGATAACAAAATACAAAGACCTACAAATAGAAATAGAAAGACTGTGGCAAAAGCAAGCAAGGGTAGTACCAATAGTCATAGGCTCCTTGGGTGCAATCCCAAAACAACTGGAGCACCACTTGAACACCATTGGCATTGACAAATTTGCTATTAGTCAATTGCAAAAGGCGGCCTTATTAGGAACTGCTTCCATCCTGCGACGATACCTATAATACCATCAAACATCTACTTCTGCCTATCCCAGGTCCTGGGTAAGGACTCGATAGGTAGACAAAATGCCAAATCCAGTCTGAACATCTGGCTGACTGTGCGATGGATTGATAATAATAATAATATAATATAGTAAAGTTGGAAGGGACCTTGGAGGTCATCTAGTCCAACCCCCTGCTCGGGCAGGAAACCCTACACCATTTCGGACAAATGGCTGTCCAGTCTCTTCTTAAAAACTTCCAGTGTTGGAGCATTTACTGCTTCTGGAGGCAGGCTGTTCCACTGATTAATTGTTCTCACTGTCAGGAAGTTTCTCCTTAGTTCTAGGTTGCTTCTC